TTTGGGGTTTAGGGTATCAGGGTTTAGGGGCTTAGGGTTTAAGGGGGTTTAGGGTATCAGGGTTCAGGGTTTAGGGTTTAGGGGCTTAGGGGTTTAGGGGTTTAGGGGTTTAAAGGTTTAGGGGTTGAGGGGCTTTAGGGTTTAAGGGTTTAGGTGTTTAGGGTTTAGGGGTTTACAGTTTACCATTTACAGGCTTCCCACAGACGCTTCTGGCCACAGACTATTGCCCTGACTCTGGAAGCCATACCTAACACCCTGAGTAGTTCCTATATAATAATGGAGTGCCTTCAAAAAGTTTTAGAGTTTAGGGTTTAGGGCCTTCATAAGAGTTCTATCATAGTGTGTCTTTTAAGGGTTTTAGAGTTTAGGTTTAGGGCTTTCACAAGAGTTCTATAATAGAGTGTCTTTTAAGGGTTTTAGAGTTTAGGGTTTAGGTATTCCCCATATAGGTACTTTAAGACTACTGCATGGGTACGTGGACCCTTGGGCATAGACGTTTCATCCAGATTCAGCAACATCGCTTGGTCCGCGGACACGCAACGCTGAGTACCCTTATCCGAAAAAGGCTAACCTCTTAAACCGGTAGGAACTTGTATACCCCCAAAAAAGGGCACATACCCGGACCACCCTTCCATCAAAACCAACAAGAACAGTGCTGTAGCATCCTTTCATCTGGGTTCTCGTCAGTAAGCTGGTTGAGTTTGATAATCATATCGAGCTTATTATTCCATCTGTTGCTGCTAGCATGATGTCATGGTAACTGAAACCAACTTGATTTAGACGAGGCCGTGAAAGCAGGTGTGGTGATCGTGCCCAGCACGTTCGCCAGCCATTCTTGGGCGGAAGCAGATTCCCGAGGCAGCGGTTCCCCATGGCGGGGGCGCCTTTCTTGTCGCAGGCAGCAGCCAGCCTGGGTTTAGGGTTTAGGGTTTAGGGGTTTAGGGTTTAGGGGTTTGGGGGTTTAGGGTTTAGGGTTTAGGGGTTTAGGGTTTAGGGTTTGGGGTTTAGCTTTGCCTGGAGCGTGCCTGGCTTTGCCTCGGCCTCCCTCGAGGAGTCTGCAGCCGTGTCGGGCTTCTCGTAGCAAAACTTGTGGAAATTGCGGCTTTTACAGATGCTAGAGCAACTCCCAGTTCACCACCTTAAGGAAATCCGACAACCGAAAACTCACGGTCTCAAACCTGAAGCCTGAATCCAATCCTCCAAAATCTACGAGAAACCAAATCCTGAACCACTATCAACCCCTGATAAACCCTATAAAAACCTTTGTCGAACAGCCTTGTACCACCGCCCATATACAACCTCTGCCAAACCATAAACGAAGGCCTTGCAAAAGCCTTAAATAAGGGGCCTTGTACCGAAGGCCTTTAAAAATTAGGGGACCCTAATATATAGCACCCTAAATAGTAGGATCCTTATTATAAGGACCCCAAACTAGGGTACCCTAGTTTTCGGAAACTCCCAAATAAGGGGCCTTGTACTGAAGGCCGGCAGAAGCCCTAAACCCTAAACCCTAAACCCTATAAATAAGGGGCCTTGTACCGAAGGCCGGCAGAAGGAGAGTCCCGAGCATCCACGGCAAAGTGGCCTTTTGCACCATCAATCGCCTCTAACCTCGGCTAGGTTTTTTTTAAAGTGCTATGGGACTTTCATTCCGCAGTAGAGGCTAGGTTTAGAGTTTGGGGTTTAGGGTTTCAGGGTTTTAGGGTTTGGGATTTTAGGATTAAGGGTTTAGGGTTTAGGGTTTCGGATTTTAGGGCCCTAAACCCTAAACCCTAAACCCTAAACCCTAAACCCTAAACCCTAAACCCTAAACCCTTTAGGGTTTGGGCCTCTATCCTCGGCTACCCATAGGCCCCATAGTATTTCCTTTTTGGGATTACCTTATTGGGTTCTAAGTATGAACCCCAAAAAGGAACTACTATGGGGCCTATGGCTAGGTTAAGGGTTTGGGATTTTAGGGTTTAGGGTTTTAGGGTTTTAGGGTTTGGGGTGTTAGGGTTTTAGGGTTAGGGTTTTAGAGCCGAGGGTTTAGGATTTTAGGGTTTTAGGGTTTAGGGATTAAAGTTTGCCTATCCTCCGCTACTTGGAGGATCATGGGACTTAGTAAGCAAGGTTTCT